AAATATGATTCAAACGCAGATAGGAACGTTTTCCGAATATCCAATCTACATAATTTGGAAATGTATCCCTTACGGAGTACCAGTAGACAAATGTACTCTTCACTCGAAAACGGCGAGACAGTAATACCTGATGAACTGAGATCAGACTGGGAAAACGATTAGAAAAAATAGCGCAAAAAAAGAGAGTGATAGTATCAGCAGCAGCAGCAGCAGCATATCCACCAGTGAACTCACATTAGTTCGAATGGCCAGACTGGACAAAACGATGAGGATGGAGAACCAGATACCTGTGAAAAGTGAGCATCAGGAGAAACATGTTAGCTGTTCATGCGTGACACAGAATTGAGGCCGATACGTATGCGACGAAATCGGACAGAGAGCAGAATTCCTAAAACCAACAGGGACTGCTGCAGACAAGCATCGAGTATACCAGTGCACAAAAGACAAGCGGGCGGATGCAGGCGCACAGACAATTGGAGATCAACTGCTACATACTTACAAACATTGGCGTTGTTGCACACGGAAATGAGAAATCCGTTCAATAAATTAGAATCGGCTTTAATGCAGTAATAATAATAATAATAATAATAATAATAATAATAATAACAGCATGTATCCAGTACTACGCAATATTCTCGTAGCGTCGAAGGAATCAAACACGGCGGTGGTAGCTTAAGGGGTTAAGTCACCATGCTGTGACTGGGGTTGGAGGTTCGAACCCTTCCATTGCCGCCCGGCTGTCCCATTTCTCTATTTTCCCAGGCAGTCTTTGTATGGTCGTGACCCCAATCCTGAAAGTTGATTGTACATTTATTCACTCAACAAATAAAAAATAATAAAACAAAACAAAATAAAAAACAAATAAAAAAGGGAAGTAAACAACATTCATTTATTTGTTTTATTCTCAGAAAGGTGGCACAAACGGCGAAGCACATCCGCACCGGCAAATACGAGGTGTTTATCAATCTAACAATGGTCCCCGTGTGTTGAGCCTCATTTCTCCACACTTACCGATTGTCTTGACTCGATCGACCACCGGACGTCGATACTGGCACACGAATTTTTTCGCATCGCCACGAATTTCCAACATGTTGTTCAGCAGACCGAAGAACGGAGCCAACGGAAACGCAGGAACGAACATGGTGATGAAGCCGTATTGTATCACTATATATTCAATGCGCGTAAATTGATCGAAATTAGACGAATGTGGGACGGATGAAGTGAGGGGTGAGAAGAGGGATCGATTAATTAGCCCTGTAATGCATAAAATGATATATATATATATTCTACACCAGATGAACCCTATATGTAACGGCATTACTCAAGAAGGGGTGATTCACTAGTGTCGTGCCAATAGTTGGGAACCACTGTCCGGGATAAAGGCCATGACATGGAGGATCTAACAATCCGCAGTCGAATTTAACACGCATTACACTGCATTGTATTGTAATAACATTGGCATTTGCTTGGAGATCTCATACGTTCCTTGAAGTTATCGATAATTTAGTGATACATACACGAATAATTTCATTTTCCTGCACAGTCCATTGCATTAGAATGGAATTTGTTTGTTTTTTTTGCCAACACATACGTAGTCATTCATGGTCAAACTCAGAAAAGGAAAACAATTTCGGTTACGTGTTGAAAAATGCACGCGTCATTTTCCAACCAGATCAGAACTAATCCCGGAAGATGTTGCACTCCGGTCGAGTGATTTAGGAAACCCGCTCTGAAAATAGCACACATGACCAGGAATGAGACGGAGATCTTGGCATATGAACCGGTTTGAAGAAAAAGATACACTTCAGAGTCCGGTTTGATTTGAGGCAGAATACAGAATAACAAGTTGTGGGAGCACTGAACCTATTAGAAACACACTGGAGCTGCAAATATTCCGGGCGAGAGGAAGTAGGAAGACAGACAACTTCACTATGACTAGCTCCTTGACGAGGACCACAGGCGGATGACATGAACAGTGGTGGTTTCAGAATAACAGACTTATCAATCCGCATTTTATTTTTACAGTGCACTTCCGGTCTCTCACTATTTAATATAGAAATAGGTCAACCAAACTAGTTAAAGTTAACTTAGTTCAACGTTTCAAACTTCAATGATGCGAAACGCATAGTGCATCAGTGAAGAAGTGAATCATGGAACGCAACGGGGTTGGACGTTTCTTTGTTTTCAAAACAGTGGCCATGATCACCGGCTCGATTGGATATCGGGGTGTATTGGGTGGTTGACCCCGTCCGAAATGCGTGTGATCCGATGACCTGGACACCGGTCACCAATGGAATGTGGTTTTCACCCACACTGCCCCGCTGCCCCGCGGTTCAGACTTTGGCTAGGTAAAGGCTCCGGTTGTGAACTCCCCGAGAAAATTCACTTTCTTTGGCCTGGGCACCCTGGTAGTACCGTGGCCTCGAGCAAATCATGGACAGTTTTTCTTGTTATAAAGACCATTATACCGTGAGTTGTTTGGTAAACGGTCTGAACTCAGGCGTATGTGAATATATGTATGTGTAAATACACCGGACCAAACCCGAGTCAAATGTAAAGCAATAACTCGAATTTTACTCCACGTACGAACCATAAACCCTCATACTGCGAGAAACAACAACATACTCATTTCCAAGTATTCGTTAAACAGCGGACGGGAACCGGGGTCTAACAGATTGAAATCCGCTCGACAGGCCAGTAGACGTTTGCTTGCTTCCTGATCCGGTCGAATATCCGCGCCCTCCATGGCAAACACTTCGGCAGCACGTTTCTTCTGTTTCCGTTTTGTCATGAAACGATTGAATAAACGCAATAACACCCTGCAGAAAAACAGTCATGAGAAACAATGGAGGGCATTTTAGATGAACGGCAGTTATCCTCCTTAATCCAAGGTAAAGGACGACTGCATAAAAGGATACTATCAGTACCACCTGTGATATATATATATATATATATATATATATATATATAGTGTTTCTGAACTACTATGATGTTTAACGAATCAGGTGTGTGCTCGGTAGCTTTGCACGTGCCGCGTGTGTAGGACAGTGTCAACTTATCACCTCTCCCTGTGGGTATCGGTTGTTTTCCCTTCAAATGCGGGTGTTGATAGGAATCATCGGGTATTTTTTGTTACACCTTAATGAGATGAACAATGGACGAAGTAAATGCCATAGTCACGAGGACCTGCTGTTCAGTGACGGAGACCGGTAACCTAAATCCCAGGATTTAGTGTGGCGAACCACATAAATCCCTGCTAAGTTAGGTGTGGTATTGAACCGGTGATAGGGAATAAACCGCCGCCACCGTCACCACCATGTGTCAAATAAGAAGAACAAGAATGGACTTCGTTCGTGCTGTAATATTTGTTCTCTCGGAGGAACAGAGTTCGAACACAAACTTGCAAACAGCATGAAGGGTGATTTGTGATATCTTAAGCTTGCAATCCATCACGGTCGATTTGTCACACAAACAGTTCTCTCTACTCTGCTTCTTGGTCGCCTCAAGATGCGAATACCCAGCACAGAAAGCGGATACAGTTCGCTTCTTCTTCTCGTACAATATCGATGCTTACATGCTGTTAATAAATGAGGGCAACAGTGAAAAATCTGTTACAATTCCAATTGAATTCCAATGAGGCAGAGAATACAACTCAAACCTCGGTCATGAAATTCTGCTTCACCACTGTGTGCATGAGAAATGTGATAAAACCGTAGTTGTGGTGAATCCAGAAGGTCTTGGTTTGTGACCGGTCATCTTTCCCGGATCACAAAAACTCCGATGCCAACAAGGGTCTCCAATAAACTTAACTGAGGTACGGCTACACGTGGGTGAAGTATTTTGTCACGATGGACAGAAAGACAGGACAAGCAAGTCAAGCTGATCCAGTTCAAAGGGCGTGGGATAAAATAAACATCAGCCCTCAATGGATTACGGTTTGCGCACATCGCCCTGCTACCTAGCGGGTCATATCTGGGTTAGAATACGGCTCCGATTGTGAATCCCCGAAGGAAAATAGCCTGCTTTAGTTAAGGTCACCTGGTTGTTTTCCGCGTACGACAAAATAATGTGCGAGAAATGTAAAACTAATTAGTACTAACAACAATAAATGACTCGATAACTAAGGAAAATATTTGANACTAAGGAAAATATTTGAAATAGAAAACAAACAACTCGATGAGTGATGAAGCTGGCTTCAACTGATAGTCGACAGCGGGGCGTTCACATGCAGTCGGTTGTTGTTCACTGGATCAAGAGGTAAACTTTGCGAAATGGAGAACAAATAAAGGGATATACGATATACCTACAGATTTATGTGAACACAGAATTTGATCACTTATTTCCCCTTAAGTGTTTCCAGCAGCTTCAGTGTGGTTGGCGATGGGTGACTCTGATTACAGCTGGCCACCCTTCCCTTAAAGATCGCGCAATGCTCCCATACGAACAAGTGTCTCCAATAGCGTCTACTGAGAAAGCCCTACTCACTGTCCTGTCGTGGCCGAGGTGTTTTGCCACCAAAGTGAGAAGACGAAAAGCGGATATCCTGGGCTGTAACTGGGTTGGTAGACCACTGATAGTTCATTTGGGGGAGTTGTTCAGAAACCCTGTTTCCAGACCAACCATGTGGAGGCGTAAGAACCGCACACACCCATCCTCCCGGTTGTGGTAGTGGTCCGTGGCTCAATTCGGTATCGGGGTGTATTGGGCACCTTGGACGTTTGACCTCGTCCAAATGACGTATAACCCGATGAACTGGACACCAGCTCCCAATGGATTGCAGTTTTCACACTTCACCCCGTTACCTTGCGGGTCAGGCTTTGACTAAACAAAGGCTCCGGTTGTGGATTCCTCAAGAAAATTCACCTGCCTTGACCTGGGCACCCTGGCAGTATACCGATCACAAGCAAATCATGGAATGTTTTTCTTTTCATAAAGATTATTGTACCATGATTTGTTCGGTACACAGTCCGGTGTCAGATGCGTGTGAAATATAGATATATACTTAAGTGCAAATGAAACTACTGCGAACAAATGGCCATCACTTCAAGCCTAACTGCACTCCACACATTATCCCTTATAATCGCCCCCAAAGAAAACGAGCAAGATCGAGACGCATAGGAACCAAGCGGTGAACCAATGACACAACTGTAACTCAGAAGCATCTGGATAGTCGTAAATATAACGTTCAACCGGAAACCACGACCGGAAATGGACAGCAAATGTGTCTGTTATCGCAGAGTAAAATGTATCATACGCACGGAGAGAGGGCGAATGAAATTTGAAGTGAAAAAATGAGCACTATATGGCTGTGCCATCCTTGTTGCCGATATTCACCCAGCTAAGGATCGAATCTGAAATCACACACACACACACACACACACACACACACGTTGTGAAGAAGAAATACACAATGTGAAAACAAATCTTTTTGGGGAAGATCAAGGCATCCCTGAGCGCATCCAGTTAAACTTACGGCATAAATGCTTCCTGGCAAAAATTCAATATCTGTTTGCCAACCATAATGATGGTCAATTGCAGAAACAGCTCGAACAAACAGTCGCCTTGATCACACTGAAAATACGCCGTGGCATTGACGGACACGGGAATCGGAGCAAACGAGGGTGGCCAGTGGGATTGTTTGAGCGAAGAGGAGGGGGAGTACCGGATTAAATGAAAAAGAAAAAAGAACGACCCGAATAGGGAAAACGAATACAGGACAAACGGAATTTCAAAAATTAAGCCATGGATTGGACTTCTCCCCTTGGTTGTCACCGATGCACCATGGCACAGTATTCCCAAAATTTGGACTAGAAATACGGTAAGCTGGAGCAAGCATATTCTTTCATCAAATGCTGGAGAAAACAACAGTATCAAAGGCATCACAGAATAGCAAAGCCGCAATTTGGATGAGAGAGCCCTTGATCAAGACGTGCATTAAGGTGATATCTTATTCCCACAATGTGCAATGGTCACCCTGATTACCATGTTTAAGGTATCTGACAAACTATCGTTTTGTTTTCGTGAAACCCATGATTACGTGAATTATCTGTTTTGGCCCTGCTGTCCACGAAATTTAGTTACACAATTGTGCTCAGGCCATTTCATAGTGTCAAGTGCTTCGGTAGTTTCCGATTGTTGAAACTGTGAAAAAAAATCAGTAACCTCGGTGGAAGTTGAACCTTCGCATGAACGCCGCGCACTCCACTATCTGAGCTGCGAGGCCACAAAGATAAACCTGGTATTTTCACATTCGAATCACCCCTAAAACTTAGAAAGGCACAAAGGTAGCGTTTAGGCTGACTGCCACGATAAGTGAACAGATCAGTGCTATCGGTGTGGCCTCGTAGCTCAGCTGACAGTGTGTGCGGTGTAAAAAGCGTAGGCAACGCACATGCGTGGGTTTGAAACCCACCAGGGCAAATTAACTTTTCACAATGTCAGTTTCACTGAAGTTGAAAAGTCGTGTATATTGTGCTAGCGTTCGTTCATTCCTGCTTTATGGCTGTGAGACCCTGAATTTGCGAATAGAAGATATCCTTTGACTAGAAGTTTTCGATTATCGGTGTTTACGCAGTTTAGCCCATGTTGGATGGAGCGAACGGGTTAGAAACGTGGAGGTAAGTCGTCGTGTGTTTGGGAGTCTGTCAGGCATAAACC